CACAATCCCTTCTCTTTATTAGGGTCTCATTCCGGAACCAGACACAGTTATAGCCTATTTCGTTTTTTGTCCGTTAAAATTACAGTTATGTCCTCTGTTTTCGTTTTTTCTGTCTGCTTTATTTCGCCACACCCATTGGTTTTTCCGTCATTATGTACTACTTCTAAGCTTTATATAGGCAATGTTCATTGTTTGCTGCATATCTAGCTCACTGGAATTCATCAATGAAAACTACTAATCTTGCAAGTTGCAATCACACTTCAACATCTTTACTTACAACAATTGTCTGTAACAACTAAAAGAGGCGTTGACACAAGCAGAGAGACAAAGGAAACAACTTTCAGGTGTTTATTGACTCCTCCTTGTGTCCACATCAATACTTCTCTCCCTGCAGGTAAAACTCTTCATGAGATTGAGAAGTCGGTGGGCTGTGCAATGTTGACATCCTCAAACTCGTTATCATCTACAGAATAAAGAATCAGATGTTCACATCATGCAATTCATAGTTTCATAGATCCAGAATGTAATAGAGCATACTCGACAGTTGTGCAATCAACAGAAGGTTAAATGATAAGATTGGTTTTACTATCCTCGATACAAATCAGTAGCTATACTCGACAGTTGTGCAATCTAAACATGATTGATACAGCTATATCCCGTAACAAATGTTTTAGACACTACAATGTTTCAATAGGCTCGATACAAATCAATGGGGTTTGAGGGGTTTCATGGAACAAGGAACACACAAAGAAAAAGATGAACAGCGATAACTAGTTAAGAAAGATGCATAATCCATTACGACAAGTCCATGTTACCTATGTTACAATAAGGAGCTGAATTTATCAGAATAAGATAAAGAGCAAAGGGATTTGAGGGATTACCTTTCCTCAAAGTCAGAGCCACAACTGCATCATTCTCAACCTGAACAAAAAACAATATGGAGACAAGCTTATAAACCGCAAAAACGTCAATTTATCCAAACAGATGTTCTCTGCTTGTGTCAAACCGCAAAAACGTCAATTTTTACAAAATGGTGACAGTGTCCATATGACTAAACATCTCCTAAAACTTAAACATCAGCCTCTCTCCTCTTCTTACCGAAGATAGTTCTTGATTAAATTGAACAAGAATTTGATTCATTCCCTAATATTGGCTGGAAAGACAAAATATATGAGATGGCTAAACGTTTGATACCTTTTGATCCGCTAAAGATTTCGAATCCTCTAATACTTCCTCGGTAGACATTAAGACCAGACGCTGATTGCTAACTGGTTGCTCAATGAGAGCAAACAGTTTTTGCTTAACATCTAAAACAGTCTCTGTTGGATCGCATTGGATAAAGTAAGTGGTTTTCATGCGCTTCACACGAATATACATGGCCTGAAAACAAGATTACACAGACTAATAAATCCCACAACCAACATGGCCAGGTCTAAATTCGACTGATTAAAAGCATCCTCCAGACGAACAGTGAAACAGAGTCGAACAAATATGTTCAGGAAGCTGAAATTAAGAACTGGTGACCATGAGAAGATATTCTTAGTGCAAAATCTCTAAACTTTTCCAGTTAAACAAGTAAAGATTGATCAAAGAAAGATGACAATACAAAAAAAAATCAAACCCATTAAATTAAATTAACGAAGTAGAAACATAGATGTATACCATTGCAAGACAAGGATGAACAATTTCCGCTGCCGATTTCGAAGACTTTCCGATCAAAATCTGTTTTCGAGATGTCAACAAAAAAATTATGAGACTTTCAGTGAGAATTGACAAACCGCAAAGACGTCAATTTACCCAAACTGAATTCCCCCAGAAATCTTTTCTCCTTTTGAATATTCAGAATAAACATATAAAACCCATATATTTTCTAAAATTAACGATTCAGATTGCAAAGAAATCCACTAACCAAGATCAGTCAAGGATAAAAAATTGACCACGAGATTGGAAAAAGATCTATCAATGTGAAGCTATTACTCAGCTGTACAAGGTAGGTAATGAGAAGGAAAAACTGGGTTTTTTTTTTTCTTTGGTGGCTTGTTTGGCTTTAGGTTTAATGCAATAACCGCCGTTCTAAACCTGCTAAAAGAGAAAGAGG